AATGATTCTATAATCATGGAGACAAAATATAAACCCACAAAATATAAAACACCAAGAACCTTAATGTGAATTATGGATTTTGGATGATGATTTGTCRATGTAGGTTCATGGACTGTAGCAACTCTGCCACTCTGATTGGGGGTGTTGGTAATGGGGGAGGATGTGCATGTGCCTGGGGGCACAGAGCGCAGAGCTATCTTTTAGAACCTAAAATTTTAGAACCTAAAATGGCTCTAAAAAAAATGAAGTTTTAAAATAAGCTTGTTATAAAAGTTAATTTGGTGTTTCTTAATATTTTTGGTTAACTGACCTCTGAGAATCTGATGAAGCTATAGAGAGACTCCTCCCTAAGTCCTTTTTCCTAAAAAAATTTCAAACAATTTATACATAAGAATTTTAGATATAATTTATTTTATTGCACTGGAAATTTAATTTCTTCTACTGTCATATTTTAAATACTTTCAAAAACTGAAGATTTTTCCTCATTTTTAGACTAAAAGTAATGACCATTTCCTTTTTTTTAAAGAAATAAAGCATAAAAGTAATTAAACAAATTAGTTTTTAAAATTTGGGGTGGGGTACTAGAGATAGAACCCAGGACCTCACACATGCTAGCAAGTACTCCATCACTGAGCTACTCCCCATCTTCCTTCTCTTTTCTGAGACAGGGTCACTAACTTGTCCTTGAACTTGTGATACTCCTGCCTCAATCCCCCAAGCAACTTTAATTCTGTACAAAGTTACATGTCAATTATAAGATCRCTATTATTCTGCTTGAATAAAAGAAATCACATAACAGCTTGGTTTTGGAACATGGTAACTTATATATAATCTTTGATATCTAAAAAGCTGTACCTTGATGTTTTGATGAAAAGAAGCAGTGAAAACTGAGAAAGGTATGTTTCTTAGTATTCTGTGATTCTTACATAATATAACTGTGATTCTTAACATAATCTCAGTTCCCACAGCTCACACTGCCCGATGATGCTAGGTAAGGCTTGTAGAAGAAACCTAAAGATTCTCTGTGACTCCTAGAATTGAATTATTACACTGCTTTGATGCAATATCACCAGTGAAAAGATTACAAATCCAAGTTTCAATTCTGAGGTTTTCTGAGTCAGAGGTAGTCTTCAAGAGCTTTGAGGTTTTTCTAGATGCCTGCAAAGAAACTGGCAGAATTTTTCATTCCGTGACTAGTTTACTGAGATACTTCCTCCAGCAGTAGAAAATTCCATGGTTATCCATTTCTAATTACCTAACTTAGAGCAGCAGCTTAGCTAAAGGGTTTATGACCTTTCTGCCAAGCCCATAATAATGACTTTAAGGTGATGAATTAGAAGTTTACACTCATTCATAAAGCCCTAAACATCCCCGAGCAAATCAAGCCATGAATAAACTCCTCCTGTACTAAATTCTTTTATCTTAAAAGGTAAATCTCCTGTCAAAAAATTAAGCAAGCAAAAACTGATTTTATATTTTGATCCTTTCTCTGATAAAAACTTTGTTCTCAAGAAATTGTTCCTTCTGTAGTAGTAGGCCTACTGGAAGTCTTCAAAATGCCTGTATGTGTCAATGAAAAAAAGCAATACAGTATCACACAGGCAGGGCTGTGTCCCCAGCAGGGCAGTATATATCTCTGCATTACCATCTGTGCAGAGAGAAACAAGATCCTCCTTCCAGTAAAAAAATAAAACAAAACAAAACTTTTTCCTCCAGTGGTTATTTCAGCAAAGAAATTTAATACTCGATTTTAAGAATGGTCAATGTTAATAGCCTTTCTAATTTCCACAAGAGAGTCATATATTAGGAATTTTTCTATGACCATGTCAATATGCATATTAATAGAAAACTAGGAACTAACTGTTTAGTGCAAAATCAGTCATTTTATCAAACTGCATCCAGGAAAGAAATGAGAGTTTCTAATTCCCTCAAAATTTACTTCAAAATATTAGAAAAAATGACAGCAATCCTAAACAGATTATATCACCTAAAATCTGACATAAATTTGCTTCTACTCCAAACTAAGCCAGTTCAAACAATGTCAGCACATACAGCTTAAAGTCTTTTAATATCATGTGGCTACTTTTTTGGCAATGTGAAAAGCCAATCTTTTATAAAATTCTTCAAGAAAAGGGTCCTTTGATGGAATAAATTTATCTTCATTTTGGCAAATTAAAATTTCTACTTACAAAAAAGTCCAAAAACTGGTGCTGGGGGCGAGGTTCAGTAGTACAGCTCTTGCCTAGCATGCAAGCACCGTGAAACAACATCAACAAAACCCCCCCTCAAAGTCCAAACAATCAGATATATTTTGAAAATGGAAAAATGTATCTTCAAATTTAGGGTTGTGAGGCTCTACGTCCTATCACCTTTGGTGATTACATAGGTTCCTTTTTTCATTTCTCTTTTGTTATCAAGTCTTAGAAGTTAGAATGAAAGATGTATAGCTGTGAACTATGTCTGTGCTCTCAATATGATGATGACCTTAGTATAGAAATTCCAACTATGTACAACAGTGGCCATTTATAACACTACTTAACTCAAAAACATTTTTTCTCTTTTCCCAAAAGCTATTTTTAAAAGTAACAGGAGGCCAGATGTGGTGGTGCATCCCTGTATTCCCAGTGACTCAGGAGGCTGAGGCAGGAAGATTGCAAGTTTTAGGCCAGCTTTAGCAACTTAGGACATCATAGTGACAACAACCACAACAATAGACAATCTCTAGAATACATAAAGAACCCAGAGGCTAGGACATCATAGTGACAACAACCACAACAATAGAAAATCTCTAGAATATATAAAGAACCCAGAGGCATTTAACCACTGAGCCACATCCCTAGTCCTTTTTATTTTTTATATAAAGACAACTCAAAACTAACAAGACTTTTTGTTTGTTTGTTTGTTTTGTTTTTGGTACTGGGGATTGAGCTTTGGGCCTAAATTTTGAACAAACATTCCCCCCAAAAAACATCTGATTACTAAGCACATGAAAAGCTGTCCAATATCATTAAGCAACAATACAAGGCCAATTAAAATTATGACAAAGTACTACAGCACATCTCTGAGTGTCTATAGTCAAGAAGACTGATCATGTCAAGAGCTGCGGAAGACGTGGGAAGCCACAGCACTCACACACTGCTCCTCGGGGAAGGTAACCAACCTGGCAGTGGGGGAGGCTCAGATGTGGACAGCCCTCGTTTGGGTGTGTAATGCATCAGAAGAGTGTCAGAGGTTAGAGAAATACCTACTCACTGCTTTGGAAAGGAGTAAGGGCGTGGCAGTCTTCTGGCCCTTGGCCACGTGATGAATTCTGATATGTGGGTACATCCTGAGTCTTGACTGGGGGGAAACACACTCGCCTGTCTTTTGGCTACAGTAAGTGGATTATTGCTTTTTAATATAATAAACAATATTAGTATGTAATTGGTACCACTTTAGTAGTTTTTAAAAAGTCTTTCAGAAATAGGTAAAAGAAAGCCAATATTTCCCTTGTTTTGATTTTGGTCTATTTTCCCTTACAACCTTTCCATATTACATATGAATAACCACAAAAGGGTATTTCCTCCAAGTTTAGAGAGTGCAGCAAGTAAGAACACACTGTCTAGAAACAGCTTTGCCATAACCCATTTGAATCAAATGTATGAAATATGAGATGTCAAGAGCTTTGTAATGTTCTGAACAACCAATAATAAAAAAAAGGTAAAAAAAAAGAAATACATGGAAAGAAAAAAAAAAGAAACAGCTTTGCAAATATCTACACTGATAGAACAACATTCTAGGATTCTCATGATTCATCATCCATGATTCTTCAATCTAAATTGTCTTTGTAAGTTTGCAGGATGCTCTTTCAATGGTTGCCATGCTTATAGATGAATAAGAATATGCTTCCAAAGTACGTTATGAAGATACAAATTGGGTGTCAACCCACTTTATATGCAAACAGAGATATGAAAAATTATGGTATATATGTGTAGTCAGAATTGTAATGCAAAAAAAGCCAAAACAAAACCAAAGTACATGTATAAAGACATGAATTGGAGTGAACATACTTTATATACAAAGATATAAAAAATTGTGCTCTATATGTGTAATATGAATTGTAATGAATTCCGCTGTTGTGTATAAAAAATAAAATCAATTAAATAAAAAAGAATATGCTTATAAATGAATGATAATAAGGTTGAAATTGGAATTCTAACAAACCAAATTCTACACAGAAGAAAAATATTTAACAGTCAACCTCTAAACCAAGCAGCCTAAACTGTACACGTACAATGAGAGTAAAAGTTGTAAACAAGGGCTGGGAATATAGCTCAATGGGGAGCACCTTCCTGGTATGTGTGAGGCCTGGGTTTGATTCCCAAGGCCAAAAAATAAAATAAAATAAAATAAATAAAATAAAAGTAAAGTAAACATATCTCCCTCTACTAGTGTGAAAAAACCAAAGCTTAGATTCTGAAGCCAGTTTATAGCATTGTAGACGTTTACAAAGGATTACATGTGATCTCCCAAGTATCTGTTCATCTCTTCCCATATCAAAGAAGAAAATTATAGTCCTCAGCCTAAGGGAAGAAAAAGACAAGCAAGAGCAGAGGGTCTCAGACTTCGAATTGCTTCTGTCTAGGCTCTGACGCCATGATGGGGCTAGAGTGTTTGATCATCATAATGTGGAAACCAGACAGTTAGGGAGTACCAGGAACAGCGCTTCTCTCATCTTCACATTACCTATGCCCTCACTTTTAAAAAAAAACGAACATTCTGTGACCTATGAAGACTTGATGGGCCTCTTATTTTCTCTTCTTAGTTTCTCCTCTAAATTCACTAGATCCTCACCCAGATTTTATTTCCTTTCTTTAATCTTTCCTTCTATGAAACCCAATTCTACCTTACGTGAAAGATTTTAGTTTATTAGTTTACACATCAGCTAGGGAATGTAAACATTAAGTGAAAGAAAGGAAAAAATAAATTAGACATTAAAAAATGGCTTTGCCAAAACTCACCATCAGAGGGCACAACAGTACTGCAATAAACAACTCCCAAATTCTGCCAGGAGGAGAGCCTCTGGTGGACCTACAAAAAGAAGACACATCTACTGTCAGGCAGAACAACAAATGTTACACAAGTAAGTGTACACAGGAAGTAAAAATAGCTTTTGAGTGTATCAGTACATTTTGAGACTGTATCAACTCCATGGATTAATAGAAAACCTGACATCTGGATGATTTTGAGTCTTTTTACTCAACAACCTTGTAAGCCTTTCAATTTGCGTCTATATTTGCATCCCTGAGAAGAATTTAAAAATTTTCTGAATACAGATCTTGTATGTCCTTCTTCTTTGTGGAAAGTTCCTGTACTGTCTTGTCCAATAATAAGACCACAACTCCCACGTTGTTTTAGTTTGCATGTGCCTGTTATATCTCTGTTGGTCCTTCCCGATTTCGTTGTTTTAGAAATGACTATGGATAGTTATTGGTATGTGTGTGTTGTCTGTGTTGTGTGTTGGTGGTGGTATTTTTTATTGTTTTTTATGGTGTAGGGGACTGAACCCAGGGGCACTCCCACTGAGCTACATTCCTGGCCCTTCTTAGTTTTTATTTTGAGACAGGGTCTCTCTAAATTGCCCTAGGCTATGCTTGAATTGTGATTTCTTGCCTCAGCTTCCAGAGTCACTGGGATCATAGGCAAGCACCACTGTATCCAGCTAAATAGCTTTCTTTGTGATCTAATCTGGAAATATTTTAATAAGAAAGTTTAGCTTATTTACATTTATTTATTTACATTCATATAATATACATATTTAATCTTTCAGTTATGAACTTTTATGATATGCCTTTTTTTGGTTGCTCTCTTCTTAAAAATAGTTTACTAAAATAGTTTATCCTTATTGTGTTTTAGTCATTATGCATGTATTCCTTCTGATAATTTGGAAGGTTTACTTTTTTACTCTACTAGTTTTTTTCAGGTAAAAGTTAATTATTTTAATGGTCCTATTATCTCTCTGAGTTTTTCTCCTACCAATCTTCCTCTTAATCACTGAACTTTAGCCCTTCTAAATTCATCCCTATATCTTGAACAGCTATACTTTTGCTTTAGAACCTTTGCATAGCTACTGCTTGAATAATTTCCAGATTATTTCCTTCAAATCTAAGTGAGGCCTATTCTGGCCACACAATTTAAAATGGCAATCCCATCGTTTGGTATTCCCTTGCACCCCATAACTTTACATAAAATATACCTTATATTAAAATATAAAAATCCTTTATTATGAGCAATGATGAACTAATAATTGTGCTTTTTTCTTCCCTTTACCATCCAGTTTAGCTCATTATATTACTTCCTTTAGAGTTGACCTTTCACTTCTAGCTATGTATCAACTATGTGTCCAGCTACCTACTCCCCTCCATCCCATAACTTAAACTTTCATTGGATTTGTTTTAAATGACTTCTGATGCTTGACATATTACTTCACATCATTTCTATTCCTCATTCTAACTTCCACTAAGTTATATATCATTACTATACTGTCAAGGTTTTAAAGATGTACAATCCCCTATACCCTAATACCCACATTTGTTTTAGTCTTCATTCTATTATCAATGAATTCCATGATCACTGCCAATTCTTTCTTTAGCTGTAATTTCTGCTTTCATTTCTTTGTCAGTTGAACTTTGTCTTGCAGAAGGGACCTTAAAAGCTAAATTTCCTGCAGCTTGGCATGTTAATTCCTAAATTAGTCTTTCCTTGAGGCTTGGTAAAGTGTCAGCACTGAATGTTGCTTTGGAGAAGTCTGAGGTCACCTGCTTCTTTTGGAGAACCATGCTTGACTAGCTTTGTTGGGAATCTGCTACCATAGGTACCATCTCTAGGTTGTCCCCTGTACCTACTTGACTTTCACTGGATTTGGAACCTTTATTTATATATTTTGATTTGGAATTGCAGAGATCTCCCTGGTTACACTAAAGATGAGCTTATATTTCTGGTTTTTATGTTCCTCCCCATGCTAAGGTATGCGAAAGAGAAAGGACAAACTCCTATCTTTATTGGGACATTAATACTTCATGTAGTAACTTTTTTAAAAAATATTTTTTAGTTGTTGATGTATCTTTATTTTATTTATTTATATGTGGTGCTGAGAATTGAACCCAGTGCCTCACACATGCTAGGCAAGCGCTCTTCCACTCAGCTACAACCCCAGCCCCATTATAAAAAGTAGTAACTTTTATATAAAGTAGTAACTTTTTAATATTGACAGTTTCAAAAACACCCAGAGGTAGAGAGCAAAGTGTGAAGAAATCCCATGTACCTGTCACCTGCTTCAATATTTATCAAAAATAATAATAATAATGCTAGCAACTTGGAAGACTGAGCCATGAGGATCACAAGTTCAAGGCCAGCCTCGTTAACTTAGCAGGATCCTCAGGAACTTATGAGACTCTGTCTCAAAAAATACAAAGGATTGGGGATGTGGCGTAGTGGTAAGGCACACTGAGTTTAATACCCGGTACCATAAAATTTAAAAAATATACATATATCTCAATATTTTATCAAACTCAGTTCATCATCTATATATTCAGTTTCCCTTCCCCTATCCTCAGAGTTTATTAAAGGAAAATCCAACCCTCGTATCACTTTACTTAAAAATAGTATACATCTACTGGACCATTTTGAAACCAGAAGTGTTCTGTCTTCCACGATTTTACACATATAATTTTTAACAATAACAACAGATGTTTTTGTGGCACAGAGAACTGCATCACACATGGATGTTTATGAATAATATTTTTTTGATGCTACAGAATATGGATCAGCAGGCCAGCCACCTGTTTTTGTAAATAAAAAAGTTTTATTGGACACAGCCAGGCTCATTCATTTACTTGCTATTGTGGGTTAACATACTCTCTCACTCCAGAGTTCAGCAGTTACATATTTACAGAAAGTTGAGTGTTTGAAGTGGAGACCATGCAGCTCAAAAAAAGCTAAAATATTTATAATTTGGCCCTTTATGTTTTCTGACCCTTGCTGTAGAAAAAAAATTGTGTAGTTTTGAGATATTCACTTTCCAAAGTCCTTTCCTGCCCATAAGGACACTAACAATTACAGTATATTATTTGAGTGTTCACAAACACAAAGATGGGTCCTTTTCTTTAAATCTTCTAGTAGCTTTCAGTCTAATAAGGCCAATGAAAACAAAAGTGATTTTGCTCTTGCCTTTTCTCTTGAAATATAGTAAAACCAAACATGAACAATGGAAAARCAAAAAAGACAAAACAACAAAAACCCAGAGAAGATATTTTTTAAACCAAAGAAGCATTGCTAAACCTATTTTCCACGGCTCCCCTTAGTTGAGTATATTTCATGGGTACAATTTTATTCTCAATATTATAAGCAAGTAGTAAGCTTTTTAGGTTTTTTCTTTAATTTTTAATAGCAAACTTTAAATAAATACTTGACTGATGCTGAAAGTTTAAAAAATAAATATGACAAGTTTAAGCAAAAACATTGAGGCAAGTGGTATGTTTTATCCATATATTTCAAAGGAAGAGACCAAGTCTAAGAAAGTATTTAGAACACACAAAGATAATCAGAGAAAGGATATACTTCTAGGCAATATTAATGCCAAACGAATAAGGTAATATGGTCCCAACACAGTCCCTTTGAAAGAAAATACAAGTTTATACTTTTGATAAAAACAGTCCATATCTTTGGTAACTTGAGAACTTCAAAGAAAAGCATGAGCTGGGAGTGAAAGTAAAGGCCTGTATAATGCCTGTCTATATTACAACCTTTAGCCCAGGAAAGGAAAAACGCCAGCAACATCAGTGTAGAGTCCCACTCCAAACACTGTGCTAACTTCCCCAAAGCATGGGATTCAGGCCAATTAAAAAAATAAAATAAAAATTTAGTATTATAAAGAGAAAGTTCATGTCCTCAGGTCAAATTATTAAATTCAAGCCCAAACTTAACTTTTAGGGTTGGGGATGTAGCCCAATAGCTGAGCACTTGCCTAGCGTCTGTGAGGCCCTGGGCGGCATCCAAAATACCACAAAACAAAACAAAACAAAACAAAACACCTTACTTTTAAATTCTTTACTACTATCATAAATTATGCAGCTTTTCCTACATTCACCTTTCACAGTTCAGAAGAGCAAACTCAGCAGTATATTTCTGCCAACAATTTGAAAAAACTGTCAAGTTTAAATAACCTGTCAATATCCCCAAAGTATTCAGGGCCAATATGGAACTACTACATATATCTGTCCAAGGATGAAACCTTGTTACAAACAGCCTACCCATGCCAAAAGTTTAGATCAATCAAATAATAGTTCCCTGTTACATTTCCTTTAGTATAACATGAAATGCTTATAAAAATGGGTTCTTTTTAACATTATTTAAATGTTCCAAAAAWTTCTTTTTAAAGACCAGGGTACCCACATTTCAACAACTTTGTCAACTCTTATCTCCAGAACGCTGAACTTGTCCGTCTTCTATGGTTGACAGAGTGGAACTACTTGAGTTGGTCTCCACCAAGACATGCACACAACAGCTTCTACAATGTGGGGTCAGCTTTCTCCATATTTTTGATATAATAAAATGGTTGAAGCATCGCATCAGCAAGTTTTTTAAAACTACCTCTCATCTATCAAAATTCTAAAATATGCACGAACTGTGGCTTCAAACCCTGGAGATTTGAGAGGTGGGGAAACACTGGAGTTAAAAGATGGGGCCCAGTTTCACCACTCAGTGTCTTGAGTTTCAATCTCAATGACTCAATTCTCCTCTGTGTTAAATTTACAATAACCAAACAATTCATGAGGCTAGTTTCACTGAAGGATGTGACAATATAAATGTAACAACACTTGAATAACAGTTTCTGTTATTCACTTTAATGTTCTATAGAAATATGAACTCAAACCTTTAATCTCCTTAAGCGATTGTCTCACTGAAAAGAATTTAATAAGTATAATGCAACCATTTCACACCTCTCTCTAAGCACAGGGATGTAAAGGCAGATACGTGAGGTTTTAAAAGAGCATCTCTTCATATAGCACCATAAAAGAGTTGAACAATTA